ATACCTTCTATCAGGGGCACCACTGCTTTCCATCAACATATTCCCATAAAGAAGTCAATATCTCCAACAACATTACAAACACAATACTTCCCATTCAGTCATTCTTGTGTATAGTTTATCAAATGTGTATAAAAAGAAGAGAGAAAAAAAAAGTTCAAGTCTTCAAGATAATCAGATTATAGCAGGATCAACAAGCTTAAATATATTCAAAACTATTCAAACACTGCTCACAAACTCGTTTCATGGGATATAAATGGAGCTGGATGACCATGGATAAAATGTACACCTAATGATATGGCATTCACCAGAAACTAAGGAAAACAAAAATCAGTAACATATTGCTAGACATGAATACTTTATCACAGATGATGTGAAAAGCTGCCCCCCAGATGAGCCTCAAGCTCTCATTTTCCTGGAGATCTAAATTGATCAGTCTCTTTTTCAATTTTCAGCGATGAAAGGTGTGGCAAAAATAGATACAAATGGAAACTATCACGAAAAAGAGAGCTTGGCTGGTTCTCCATCCTAGAAAAAATATCAATGCTTTCACTTTTTTTCTCTACAGTAAACTAAGTTTACATATAATTTTGAAAGTGTATTGACAGGTATGCTGGCAGAGGAAGTATACACCAATCTCTAAAATATGTCAATGACATTATCTCAAAGTACCTGCAAACAGCACAATCAAAACTGATTATAATATGAGATTATGACAACTGGAGAACTCTCTAAAATGTATCATACATAATCTACAATACATAATCTTATTCTACAGGTGCCTTTTCTACTGTTCTATATCGAAATTGTACATTATCCACCACACCCCTCCATCCAGTCGATGAAAACATTCAATGAACACACAGCCACATAATACTGTGATGGCCTTGGTCAATGAATGGGCTAGATTTTACCTTTATGAAAACATGAAAACTTTATTGTGATTGGTGTGCTTATTCCAAAGAGAAATAATGCATCCATCTCAATGAGAGAGAACTTGTAGTGTCTACATGATGGGGCAGAAAACAGTCAACAAAATAACTCAAGATGGAAGAAGCTAATAATTGACATGGAATACAGATACTGAAAGTTTGTGGCATTTACCAATTGATCTGCAGCTATCTGATTCTGTCCAATATATTTTTCATGTCTTCTTAAAGATGCTACATCATGAAAACCCATATATGTTCTCAAATAAAAGAACATGGATATCATGTTCAAAAAAGAATTTCAGTTATACAGACCAAGTACTGAGAAATGTACAAATAAATAGTTATTACAAATGTAAACTATCAGTTAAGTCTGAAGCACTATATACAATCTATTCTCTACTTGGCTCAGACCAGACGTTCGTAAAATAATAGGTACGCTTGCGCTTTCATGACTCGTTCAATGTTTACTTCTGCAACATATGCATCTGAGACATGGAACCAGCGACCAGCCTTCACCTCTTCCTCCAATTCCTGCAAATACATTCAAAGAATAGTTAAATAAGCACATAAGTTATGTTTTCCTAACATCCTAAATATATCATCATCTGCTAATGAATCAAACTCAAAGTTCTTTACTAAACTTCAGAACTGAAATCTCAGAATAGATTTTTCAGAATGCTTTATAATATTCCAATCATAAATACAAAATTCTAGAAAAAAAAAAAATCATATACACATGAAATATCTTATCTCTTCCATCTGTTTTGAGATTATTTTAGCCAATGGTTTGATAAATATATCTGATCTTGATTCCTCCTTGCATTATGAAGAGAATAGGTATTACTCAACTGAATGCTTTTATCTTCAATCCTGATGATATTACATGATATTCTTTTCTTTACCAATTTTCTCAGTTTTACAAGATATCATGTAGGCAGAACAGAAACATACTAATACAACCAATAAACTATTCTTCCACTTTAAAACTGGTGCAGTTCCCCTTTACTAAACAAATGAAAAAAAAAAGAGAGAATGAAAGAAAGAAAGAAAATGACTCACCTCAACATTAACCGAGGTTGTATTTGCTGATGAACCTTTCAAGTCATTGTCTAGCATGCCAGAGGAAGCCTCAATCTTTTCTGCCATCTCTGTCACAAGGTGATTAATCTCAAACTGGCTAGAGGGCTTGAGATTGAGGAACTGCTTGTTGGTGCGGTTGGGGTCCAGAGGTCTAGAGCGAACATAGGCAACATAGTGGCCAGAGTTGAGTCTTCCAGAGTGTTCAACAACACTGTAGAGACCATAAAGAACTTGTTTCTGGCCTCGGGACATGTTACCCAAACCCTGAAACAGAGCATGATTAATATGCAACACAAAGGTAGAACTGATCTTAACCCATTACTTCTCAATACATGTGTTAGCTATTATAGTCTTTTTTTGTTTTGTTTTTTTGTTTATATATAAATGGTTCCACAAGAACTTGGCCATCAAGGAATCAATTACTAGGCCTGAATGACCTCACCTGATTTCCACATTCCTTGTATTTTCAGATTTTTTTTCATCATTTCATCATTTTTCTCATTATCATCTGCATTGGCAACACTAATAGCAATAAAGACAAAATAAAAACTTTTCCAATATTTAGGAAAATGGGTAAACAGGCAAGATTAGGTAGGACTAGTATTTGAGTCCTCAGTGATTAAGCACTTGTGGAGCCATCATTCTGTACACAAAATTAAAAAATAAAAATCACAGTGGACTTGGCATGTACATACATGTCATCATACCATCAATAGGTTAAAAATACAGGGGTCCCCATTATTTCTAACTACTATGGATCAGAAAAATATGACTAATAATAATTTTATATCAGTCCTCAGTGTGCATGTATACTAGCATAAGGTTGCCATCTACTCATGACACCCTTGAATGCAAAGTCATACTGTATTTCTGATTTCTTTTGGCTAAAAATTCAACTTCCAAGAGTAATTTATATGCAGAAGGGGTCACTAAATTACTCATGTGCTATGAGTTTACTGAATGTTGTAAAAAGCACTAGGATTTTTTTCAAATATTTCAATAATTTTTTAGTAATTCATAAAAAAAATTCAAGATGGCTGATTAATATAAGCACTTATTATCAGCTGCCACGACCACTTTTATTCTTTTGTGTCACTTCCATTCTATCTGGCATTAACACATAAAACAGGTTGATGCTGGTTTTGGGTGGGTTTGCATCAGCCATTATCCATTTATGAATCCAGGATTTAAATCAACATCAAAAACAAAAGCTGAGAGAGTGGGGTGTGGGGGCACGAGGCTATTTCAGTGACTTGAAAGTTGACATGTTCATGTATACTGTAGCTCTCTCATAAGCAGCACACACAAACTTTCAATTTTAGTAAATGTAAAGGTAATCTGGAATTCATGTTCTCCTTATTTACCCAATGCTACCGGGGATGGCCTGTATGTACATACCATGCCCATTGTGAGTTTAGTTTATTAATTGTCTTGACACACAGATAGCTTCATAAGTGCATAGACTACCAGTTTACCCTTTTCCTTGATTTTCAGAAATATTTTCTTATATCCCACTTTACAACAATGATATTGTGATATTGACAGCATTGGTAAAAGAAAAAAATACCAAAAACTCAAGGAAAGGAGGAATCTGATGAGGTCACAAGGTGTACTAATTGACTCCACCACAATCTCTAAAAATATTTCACAAAACAAAACTACAGTGAACATTACATCTTCCTGGCAGCACTAGGTTAACCCAACCCTTTCCAAAAGTCAAGGAAAAGGGTAAACAAGTGAGATAGCTAGGTCTAATAACTGACTCCTTAGTGACTAAGCACTTGTAGAGTCATCAATGTGTAAATACAATAAACAAACTTGTATTACAGTGGGCATGGCATCTATTCTTGGGTGATTGGGTTCATTCTAATTACAGTTCACATTGTAGCTTCTTCTATATTTTTTGCTTCTTATTAGTTTTTTTCCATATATTTGCAGAAATATGTGTATAAAAAATGGAGGAGTGAAATGCAAATAATGAGGTATCCACAAAAGATCAGTATGAAATCACAAATAAAGAGGATCCCCTGTATTTTCTCTGAAATATCAAACTATGGGTTTCAAAGTAAAATAAAAATAACTGACACCTACCAAAGAGATTGATGATGTGAATGGAGCAATATCCAAAACCAGTGGGAATTTCACATAACGGTTGACCTTGGTGAGATTGAAACCCATGTGGTGGAAACGTTTCAATTGCAGAGTCAACACAGCAGGAGGTGAAAGGATCAGGAGCTGTTTGCTGGCATTGCTCTTTACAGGCTCAACACTCTCCTCTGAAACAGCAATGGATAATAATATAAAGACACTGAGGCCAATCCATGAAGCATATACCTTTGTAGAATAGAAAACATATATGGAAAAAAAATTTAAAAAACTTAAACATTTATTGGTCACACTAACCTCCGTGTAACTGACTGTGAATTTTTGTACAGTTCTCACAGGTGATCTTGTTGTTACCCATCAACAGCTCTGGAGCCGTAAAGTTGGTCAAGCAAGACATAATGGAACACTCCTGACTGTGACACTGGTATCTGTAAGAAAGAAAGGAAGAGTTGTTGTTAAAATAACTACAAATATCCCCTAATTATCACATGATCCAATCCAAGCTTCGTGTACTTCAAATGTCAACTGAAAAAAATATATATATCTATCTTACCTCGGGGCAAGAGTTGTTAGGCTTCGGGCTATCCACTCTTGCTTCAGTTTCTTCATGTTTTTCACCTTCTTCTTTGTCTCGTCTTCTTCTCCTTCTCCTAATCGTTCTTTGAAAGTGTGCAGGGTTTCTGTGGAGCCTCTTTTCTGTTTCATGCTGTGTGTGTCAAGGAGGCTCTCCTTGCTGCTTGACTTTCTTCTGATCTTTAATTCACCAACCTTTAGGCACATTTCCTCCATGTGTGCCTGATCCACTGGCACCTGGTGAAGAAATGTAACGTTACTAACACATGAATGGTGAAAAACTACAGTAGCTCTAATTAAAACATGCAACACAATGCAAGCAGGCAAGTATATATACTACTTGTAAAAATATCAGGTTGAGAAAATAAGAAGAAAAGTCTACAAATTAAGAACATGAGACATTTTTATGGAAGCAGCAGCTTTCTTCACTATCACAGTTCCATCATAGCCTACCTCAGATATCCATATAATCATTTACTATTCTATGTCCAGCATTATGGAAATCCCATGCTATTCTACTTATTCTATATTTCAAATACTTTTGACTCTAAAATTTATAGATAATAAAGTGAAAGGAAAAAATATATAACAATTATACCAACACTGAAACTGCCAAAGAGGAAATGTATGAAGGAAAGAATACCAGGGTACAAAATTGTTTTTGATGTAATGCACAGGTGTAAATGTGTTAACAAGCACTACATTTAATGATAAAAAAAGTTAAAAGCAGGTTCTTAAACTTTTTACCTAAGGTGCATTTCTGAATAAATAAAATCTTCTAACTTTCTTACTATACTTGCAGTCATTGAGGAATTCACAGCTTTCTTAATAATCTACAGTAATTTGCCCATCTTCTAATGATCTCCTTGTCTCAGCTCTGAATCAGACAAGTCTACAAGGTCTTGTATTTACGACTGACCCACTCATGCCGGATGATGTCTAATCATATCATGGCAAACTGGGCCCAAGTGCTAGATGAAAAGCCTCCTGCTATATGCGACTGAGTTAGCTCTCTTTGCACAAAGTAAACTGTGAAATTCTTAGTTTGTTTGAGTCCTAAAATCTTTGATAAATTATTTTGTTGGACAGTTCTTGAGTTGCAAAACTTTCTTAAAATCTTGTAATACTTTAAAGTTTTGAATATTTTCTAATTGCTTCTCATATCAAGCCCTTTTTATATTGCAAAGAAATATATCAGTGAAAGATTTTTTTTCCCTTCTATTTACAAATGATAAAAATCACAAAAGTCACAGCAGAAAAGTGACATACTTAATAAAAAGCCATTACTATAGGAGGGAATACATTCAATGTACATACATCCAACATCTTTGCTGAAATTACCTTGCACTCTGCAGTTCCCCCTTCAAAGTTATTGATGGTATCACCACTGGATATGGAAAGGCTGTCACCCGTTACACAAGAGGATGCTATGCCACTTGTATTGGTCGATTTGTCAGATTTAACAGATGTTGTTTCTGCTTTCTCCTTAATACAGAAAAGGGCAGACATAAAGTGACTATTGGTGGCACACATATGGACATGCATCCTCGATTCTTCATTATTAGAACCAGATGACAAAGAGGACAAAAATAGATGGGGGGGATTAGTAATTGAAAATGTTATTCACAGTTATAATGAAACCATGCTTTTATGAAAAGAGCTCTTAAACATGCAAAATTTGAAGATCAAGGAACACGCACATGCATTTGGTAGGATAAAACTTGTATGAATCTGTATATCATATCACCTCAATGCTACCAAGAATGGCATGTATTTAAATGCCATGCTCAGAGTAAGTTTAGTTTGTTAGTTGTATTTACACATAGGTGGTTCCACAAGTGCTTAGTCACCTAGGAGTCAAATACTATTCCTAGCTATCACCTCTGTTTACCATTCTCATTGTTTTTTGGAAACATTCTAGTTAATCTTATATTGAGAGTAGTAACATTAAAAACAATAATAATTATAACATCAATAACAATAATAACAGCATCAATATACCTAGCACTAGAAATCAGGTGAAGTCATGTAGACTGCTAACTCCCTCCTTGGTAGCTCAGCACTTGTCAATTTTTTTATGTGTAGATACATTCAAAAAAACAATACTACATGGCGCATCATATTTTGCAGCCACATTGGGTATACATATACATATGTATAATGTAAAAATATAAATAATATCTACATGTATATGTATAGATATAAATATACATATTCATGTACATGCATAAATATACATATACATATATATAAATGTATATATATTTACGTACATATGTGCTAAAGTGCATACGTACATACATACACACACATACATACATATGTCCATATATGTATGGACATATGTATGTATGTATGTATGTACGTATATATGTACGTATATATGTACGTATGTATGTACATATGTATGTATGTATGTATGTATGTATGTATGTATGTATGTATGTATGTATTTGTATATATCCGTGTATGTGTGTGTGTGTGTGTGTGTGTGTGTGTGTGTGTGTGTGTGTGTGTGTGTGTGTGTGTGTGTGTGTGTGTGTGTGTGTGTGTGTGTGTGTGTGTGTGTGTGTGTGTGTGTGTGTGTGTGTACAAACTTATATACAAGAAGGAAATTGACAGACACATTGTCCAATAAACAGTAAGACCCAAAACACAACAAATATTTACCACAGGGTCCTGGAAGTTGTCTAAATCATCCCCAGTGTCGAGGCCATTACAGTCCCGTTCATTTGGGGTGAAATACCTCTCTGACGTGTCAGATGCAGAATTGTAATTTAGCTGATCACTTGAATAACAACTCTTAAGGCAC